AATGGGACAGCACACTCCCGCTTTCTACCCGGAGTTTCCTGTGTCCATTCAACCAGCTCCTGCCCCTTTCTGCCTTCTCATCCTACCTCTGGACAGGGGCTGCCCATTTATTTTCATGTATCTACTTGAACTAAGAAGCACACTCTTCATGAGTATTATTTTATGTTTTATAGTCCAGTCTAATCTTTGTCTGAAGAGTTGGCTTCAGGAATAGTTTTGGTTCTAGGTTAACAGAGACTCCAGGGGCCATGTCTTCTGGGGTTCCTCTAGTCTCAGTCAGACCATTAAGTCTGGTCTTTTTACTAGAATTTGAGTTCTGCACCCCAATTTTCTCCTGCTCTGTCAGGGACTCTCTGTTGTACTCCCTGTCAGGGCGGTCATTGGTGGTAGATGGGCACCATCTAGTTCTTCTGGTCTCAGGCTGATGGAGTCTCTGGATTATGTGGCCCTTTTGTCTCTTGGGCTAATATTTACCTTGTGTCTTTGGTGTTCTTCATTCTTCTTTGCTCCAGGTAGGTTGTGACCAATTGATGCATCTTAGATGGCTGCTCACAAGCTTTTAAGACTCAAGACACCGCTCACCAAAGTGGGATGCAGAACATTTTCTTAATAAACTTTGTTTTGCCAACTGACCTAGATGTCCCCCGAAACCATGGTGCCCAGACCCCCACCCCTGCTACTCTGTCCCTCAAAGAGTTTGGTTGTGTTCAGGAAACTTCTTAGCTTTTGGTTTCGTCCAGTGGTGCTGACTTCCCCATATTGTGTGTTGTCCTTCCCTTCACCTAAGATAATTCTTGTCTACTATCTAGTTAGTGAATACCCCTCTCCCTCCCTCCCCACCCTCGTAACCATTAAAGAATGTGTTCTTCTGTGTTTAAACCTTTTCTTGACTTCTTATAATAGTGGTCTCATACAATATTTATCCTTTTACGACTGACTAATTTCACTCAGCATAATGCCTTACACATTCATCCATGTTATGAGATGTTTTGCAGATTCATCATTGTTCTTTACCATTGCATAGTATTCCATTGTGTGCATATACCATAATTTGTTTATCTATTTGTCTGTTGATGGGCACCTAGGTTTTTTCCATCTTCTTGCTATTGTGAACAGTGCTGCAATGAACACGGGTGTGCATATATCTATTCGTGTGGTGACTCTTATTTCTCTAGGATATATTCCAAGGAGTGGAATTGATACTGGTTACATGTATTCCTAAGTATTTCATCTTCTTGAGGGCTATTGTAAATGGTATTGATCTGATGATTTCCTCTTCGAAGTTCTCTTTTTTGGTGTATGTTATTTCTATTTCTAGCTTTTTAAGGAAGTGCCAAATTGATTTCCAAAGTGGTTGTACCATTTTACATTCCCACTAGCAGTGTGTAAGTGTTCCAGTCTCTCCATAACCTCTCCAACATTTATTATGTTGTGTTTTTTGGATTTATGCTAGCTTTGTTGAGGTGAGATGGTATTTCATTGTACTTTTGATTTGTATTTCTCTAACGGCTAATGATCGTGAGCATTTCCTCATGTATCTGTTAGTCGCCTGAATGTCTTCTTTAGTGAAGTGCCTGTTCATGTCCTTTGCCCATTTTTTAATTGCATTATTTGTCTTTTTGTTGTTGAGGTTTTGCAGTATCTTGTAGAGTTTAGAGCTTAGACCCTGATTGGATACGTGGTAGCCAAAATTTTTTTCCCAGTCTGTAGGTTGTCTTTTGACTCTTTTGGTGAAGTCCTCTGAGGAGCGTAAGTGTTTGATTCTTAGGAGCTCCCAGTTATCTAGTTTCTCTTCTGGTGTTTGTGCATTGTTAGTAATGTTTTGTATTCTGTTTATGCCATGTATTAGGGCTTCTAGCATTGTCCCTAATTTTCTTCCATAATCTTTATCATTTTAGATTTTTAGATTTCATATATTATGTCTTTGATCCCTTTTGAGTTAGTTTTGTGCATGGTGTGAGGTATGGGTCTTGTTTCGGTTTTTTGCAGATGGATATCCAGTTATACCAGCACCATTTGTTAAAGAGACTGTCTTTTCCCCATTTAATGGACTTTGGGCCTTTGTCAAATATCAGCTGCTCATAGGTGGATGAACTTACTTTTGGATTCTCAATTCTGTTCCATTGGTCCATGTATCTGTTGTTGTACCAGTACCAGGCTGTTTTGACTACCCTGGCGGTATAACAGGTTCTAAAATCAGGTAGTGCGAGACCTCCCACTTTGTTCCTCTTCAATAATGCTTTACTTATCTGGGGCCTCTTCCTTTTCCATGATTTGTTTCTCCATCTTGTTAAAAAAATGTCGTTGGAATTTAGATTGGGAATGCTTTGTATCTGTAGATCGCTTTGCGTAGAACTGACATTTTCACAATGTCGAGTTTACCTATCCATGAGCAAGGTATGTTTTTCCACTTATGTAAGTCTCTTTTGGTTTCTTGCAGTAGTGTCTTGTAGTTTTCTTTGTATATGTCTTTTATGTCTCTGGTTACATGTATTCCTAAGTATTTCATCTTCTTGGGGGCTATTGTAAATGGTATTGATCTGATGATTTCCTCTTTGAAGTTCTCTTTTTTGGTGTAGAGGACTCTAACTGATTTTTGTATGTTTATCTTGTATCCTGATACTTTGCTGAAATCCTCTATTAGTTCCAGTAGTTTTCTTGAGGATTCTTGGGGGTTTTCTGTGTATAAGATGATTATTATCCACAAACAGAGATACTTTGACTTCTTCCCTACCAATCTGGATGCTCTTTATTTCTTTTTGTAGCCTAATCGCTCTGGCTAGGACCTCCAGCACAATGTTGAATAAGAGTGGTGATAAAGGGCATCCTTGTCTGGTTCCTGTTCTCAAGAGGAATGCTTTCAGACTCTCTCCATTTAGGATGATGTTGGCTGTTGGCTTTGTATAAATGCTGTTTATTATGTTGAGGAATTTCCCAGCTATATTTATTTTGCTGAGAGTTTTTATCATGAATGTGTTGGACTTTGTCCAATGTGTTTTCTGCATCAATTGATAAGATCATGTGGTTCTTATCTTTTGTTTTATTTATGTGATGGATTACATTGATTGTTTTTCTAATGTTGAACCATCCCTGCATACCTGGTATGAATCCCACTTTGTCATGGTGAATTACTTTTTTGATATATTGTTGAATTCTATTGGCTATAATTTTGTTGAGGAGTTTTGTGTCTATATTCATGAGGGATATTGGCCTGTAATTTTCTTTTTTTTGTGGTGTCTTTACCTGGTTTTGCTATCAGGGTTATGCTGGCTTCACAGAATGAGTTTGGGAGTATTCTATCATTTTCTATGCTCTAAAATACTTTTAGCAGTAGTGATGTTAACTCTTCTCTGAAAGTTTGGTAGAATTCTCCAGTGAAGCTGTCAGACCCAGGGCTTTTGTTTTTTGGGGAGTTTTTTAATTACCTCCTCAATCTCTTATTTTGTTATAGGTTTATTTAGTTTTTCTGCCTCGGTTTGTGTTAGCTTAGGTAGATAGTGTGTTTCTAGAAATTTGTCCATCTCCTCTAGGTTTTCAAATTTGTTGGAGTACAAATTTTCATAGTATTCTGTTATGATTCTTTTAATTTCAGTTGGGTCTATTGTGATATCACCCGTCTCATTTCTTATTAGGGCTATTTTCTTTTGTCAGTTTGGCCAGTGGTTTATCAATTTTGTTGATCTTTTCAAAGAACTAGCTTTTGGTCTTGTTAACTCCTTCAATTGGTTTTCTAGTCTCTATTTAATTTATTTCTGCTCTAATTTCCTTTCTTCTGATGCCCGAGGGCTTCTTTTGCTGCTCTCTTTTTATTTGTTCGAGTTGACAGGTTAATGCTTTGATTTTGGCCCTTTCTTCTTTTTGGATGTGTGCATTTATTGCTATAAATTGACTTCTGAGCACTGCTTTTGTTGTGTTCCAAAGGTTCTGGTAGGATGTGTTTTCATTCTCATTTGGTTCTGTGAATTTCTTTATCCCATCCTTGATTTCTTCTATAAGCCATTAGTTTTGAGCAAAATGTTGTTCAGTTTCTATGTAATTGATTTTTTTCCTTGCTTCTTCTGTTATTGATTTCTACTTTTATGGCTTTATGGTCACAAAAACTGTCTTGTCATATTTTGACACTTTGGATTCTGTTAAGGCTTGCTCTGTGGCCTAATATGTGGTCTATTCTGGAGAATGTTCCATGTGTATTGGAAAAGAAAGTATACTTGGCTGCTATTAGGTGGAGTGTTCTGTATATACCTGTGAGATCAAGTTGGTTGAGTGTGGCATTTAGATCTTCCGAGTCTTTATTGAGGTTCTTTCTGGATGTTCTGTCCTTCACCGGAAGTGGTGTGTTGAAGTCTCCTACTATTAATGTAGAGCTGTCTGTTTCTCTTTTCAATGCTGCTAGAGTTTATGTATTTAGGAGCCCTGTCATTGGTGCGTAAATATTTATTATAGTGATGTCCTCCTGGTGTATTGACCCTTTAACCATTATATAATGCCCTTCCTTATCATTTGTGGTGGATTTTGCTTTAAAGTCTATTTCATCAGAGATTAATACTGCCATTCCTGCTCTTTTTGATTGTCGTTTGCTTGATATATGTTTTTCCATCCTTTGAGTTTTAATTTGTTTGTGTCTTTGAGTCTAAGCCATATCTCTTGTAGGCAGCGTATAGACAGATTGTGTTTTTTTATCCATTCTACCACTCTCTGTCTCTTTTTTTGTGCATTTAATCCATTTACATTCAGCATAATTATTGATAGGTATGAGTTTAGTGCTGTTATTTTAATGTATTTGTGTGTGTGTGTGTTGCCGACACCTTCTTTGTTCCATTTAATTTTCTTTGCTGAGTCTTTTTTCTTTATGTATTTTCATTGTTGTTGATTTTGTATTTGCTGAGTCTTTATGTTTTTCTTCTTCTTCTTCTTCTTTTTTTTTTTTTGGATGTGTAGGATTGTTAGTTTCCTTTGTGGTTACCTTAAAATTTACCTCTATTTTCCTAAGTTTAAACCAAAAAAATACAGAACACTTCACGAATTTGTGTGTCATCCTTGAGCAGGGATCATGCAAATCTTCTCTGTATCGTTCCAGTTTTACTACATGTGCTGCCAAAGTGAGTATGAGAAATATTTCCTATGGGACCCTTCAGAAGCATTTTTTAGTATTGATGGTGTCTTTTCCTACTGTAAAAAAAAAATGAAACTAGTTCATTTCAAAATATGCTTTTGGATATATTTTTCCATTAGGACAAAAAAAGATATTTTTAAAAATCATCTTTTTTTCCCTTCACTAAGACAGAAAACAAAAATCCAATGAAGGTAACATTGCAGACCCAGCGTGATGCAATTTATAAACATAGGGTCTGTCCAGTCACGTGAGGGAAGGAGAAGGAGTGTTAGAAGAGGTCAGAGGGGACTATAATAAGAGGGATGCTGGGATAAGATATGGATGGCTAACCTCTGCTTACACACTAGACTCCAGCTGGGCACCTTGCATCTGACAGTCAGCATATGGGTGAGCTGTCTCATCGCCCTTTGGCATGTGCTGATATGAAACAGCAGGCAAGAGAGATCATCCGACGTGCCTCTCTTTGGCTACTTGCTGTAGCAAGCAATGTGTACATTTCACAGAGGCTGTAAGTGGGGTAATCCTTCGATGTTTAAGGCCTAATCCTTCAAAAGAGCCTAATGGCTTCTCTGAGTCCCACACTATGAGTGCCTCTCACAACCAAGCTATGATAAATAGACAATTTTTAGAAGCAATGATTGGCAGACAGGGAAATTGCTAACCAAATTAATTTCCCCAAGAACTTATCTTCTGCCCATTGTGCTTAACTTCCAAGACAGTCTTACTCCAATCCTGATGCCACGTTCTTCTTCATACAGTGCAGCTTCTCGGATTATTTGCTCAGCATACAGATTGAATAAGTATGGTGAAAGGACACAATGCTGACGTACACCTTTCTTGACTTTAAATCACGTAGTATCCCCTTGCTCTGTTTGAACGACTACCTCTTGGTTTATGTACAGGTCCTCACTAGCACAATTAAGTGTTCTGGACTTCCCATTCTTCACAACGTTATCCACAATTTGTTATGATCCACACAGTTGAATGCCTTTACATAGTCAATAAAACACAGGTAAACATCTTTCTAGTAGGCTCTGCTTTCAGCCAGGATCCATGTGATCATGAGCAATCATATCCCTCGTTCTGCCTCCTCTTCTAAATCCAGCTTGAATTTCTGGTAGTTCCCTGTCAATGTACTGTTGCAACCACTTTTGAATGATTTTCAGCAAAATTTTACTTGTGTGTGATATTAATGATATTGTTCAATAATTTCCGCATTCTGTTGGATCTCCTTTCCTTAGAATGCGTACAAATACAGATCTCTTCCAGTTGGCTGGCCAGGTAGCTGTCTTCCAAATTTCTTGACATAGACAAGTGAGGGCTTCCAGCACTGCATCTGTTTGCTGAAACATCTCAATTGGAATTCCATCAATTCATGGAGACTTGTTTTTCGCCAGTGCCTTCAGTGCAGCTTGGACTTCTTCCTTCAGTACCATCAGTTCTTAATCATATGCTACCTCCTGAAATGGTTGAACATTGACCAATTCTTTTAGGTACAGTGACTGTATTCCTTCTATCTTATTTTGATGCGTCCTGCATAGTTCAATATTTTGCCCATAGAATCCTTCAAAATTGCAACTTGAGGCTTGAATTTTTTCTTCAGTTCTTTCAGCTTGAGAAATGCCAAGGTGTCCTTCCCTTTTGGTTTTCTAACTCCAGGTCTCTGCACATGTCATTATAATACTTTACTTTGTCTTCTCATGCTGCTCTTTGAAATGTTCTGCTCAGCTCTTTTACTTTACCATTTCTTCCATTTGCTTTAGTTACTCTAAGTTCAAGAGCAAGTTTCAGAGTCTCTTCTGACATCCATTTTGGTCTTTTCTTTCTTTCCTGTCTTTTTAACGACCTTTTGCTTTCTTTATGTATGATGTCCATGATGTCTTCCCACAACTCATCTGGTCTTCAGTCATTACTGTTCAATGTTTCAATTCTATTCTTGAGATGGTCCCTAAATTCAGGTGGGATATACTCAAGTTTGTACTTTGGCTCTCGTGGACTTGTTTTAATTTTCTTCAGCTTCAGCTTGAACTTGTATATGAGCAATTGATGTTCTGTTCCACAGTCAGCTCCTGGCCTTGTTCTGACTGATAATATTGCACTTTTCCATTGTCTCTTTCCACAGATGTAGTCAATTTGATTCCTGTGTTTTCCATGTGGTGAGGTCCACGTGTATAGTCAGCTTTTATGTCATTGTAAAAAGGTATTTTCAATGAACAAGTTGTTGGTCTTGCAAAATTCTATCATGGAATCTATGGTGTCATTTCTATCACCAAGGCCATATTTTCCAACTACTGATCCTTCTTCGTTTCCATCTTTTGCATTCCAATCATCGGTAATTATCAATGCATCTTGATTACATGTTTGATCATCTTCAGACTGCAGAAGTTGGTAAAAATTTTCAATTTCCTCTTCTTTGGCATCAGTGGTTGGTATGTATATTTGAGTAAGTTATATTGACTGGTCTTCCTTGTTGGCATATGGCTATTATCTTATCACTGACCCTGTTGCACTTCAAGATAGATCTTGAAATGTTCTTTTTGATAATGAATGCAATGCCATTCCTCTTCAATTTGTCATTTCCAGCATAGCAGGTCATATGATTGAATCAAAATGGCCAATAACAAACAGTTCACTTCAACTCACTAATGCCTAGGATATCAATCTTTATGCATTCCATTTCATTTTTGACAACTTCAAATTTTCCTACATAATTCATCCCATGTTCTGATTATCAACAGATGTCTGAAGCTGTTTCTTCTCATTTTGAGTTGTGCCACATCAGCAAATGAAGGTACTGAAAGCTTGACTCCATCCACGTCATTAAGGTTGACTCTATTTTGAGGAGACAGCCCTTCTCCAGTCATATTTTTTGAGTGCCTTCCAACCTGAGGGGCTCATCTTCCGGCACTATACCAGACAGTGTTCTGCTGCTATTAATAAGGTTTTCACTGGCCAATTTTTTTCAGAAGTAGACCACCAAGTCCTTCTTCCTAGTCTGTCTTAGTCTGGAAGCTCCACTGAAACCTGTCCACCATAGGTGACCCTGCTGATATTTAAAATACCAGTGGCATATCTTCTAGCATCACAGCAACAAGCAAGCCACCACAGTATGACAAACTGGCAGACCTGTGGTGTCATACTGCATACTGACCATTTAAATGTGGTGTCCCTCTCTTGCCTTCGACTCAATGAGAAATGCATGGTATTTTGGTAGATCTCAAAATCAGGTTAAAAACATAATCAACTTGATTTAACCCAAATCATTTTTAGGCTATTGTCTTAGGCTGGGTTCTCTAAAGAAGCAAAACAAGTAAAGTGTATAAATATATATATAGAGAGAGATTTATATCAAGGATATGGCTCGTGCACTTGTAGAGACTGGAACGTCCCCAGTCCGTGGATCAGGATAGAGGCGTCTCCTGATTCATGTAGCTGTCGGGACTGGTGAACCCAAGATGGGCAGGTCAGAGAGCACAGCTCTTGCTCACAGGCTGCAAAGACTGACGAATCCCAAGATCGGCAGGCAAGACTGCAGGTAAGCTACTAGCTCAATTCCCGAGAACCAGAAGTCAGATGAACAGGAGCCAGCTGCAGGATTCAGAGGGAACAAAAGCCCACAAGCCCTGCCAGAATGTCCACTTATATTCAATGTAGGCCACATGCCCAAGGAAACCCCTTTCAACTAACTGCCTACTCACAGCAGATCTCATCATGGAGGTGATCACATTACATCAAATCTCATCATTGGAGTGATACAACATCATACGACTGCCAAACCATTGAGAATCATGGCCCTGCCAAACTGACATATAACCTTAACTATCACAGCTATTCATTCATTCATTTCTTCTTTTAATAATAATAACAAAGTACCTACATTGGTCGTTCAGTTGTAGATTTTTTGCCTTCCATACTGGTGGCCCCAGGCTCAATTCCTGACCAATTCCAGAATTATAAGAACTTTAATGTTCGGGAGGACAGCTGATCCTATATCTGGATCTCATAGAGGTAAAAACAAAGACTCCAAATGATTCTTAACCTACCCAACTCTCATACCCCTTGTCTTCCTATATAAGACCGTAAAGATGGGAATTACATTATTGTTCTCCTTCTGCTTCTTCTGTAACATGCACACCTGTTTGTTGTTCTCCCACTTCAGTGTGATTTTTTAAAACCTATCTCCTCCACTAGACTGTGACCATCTTGAGGGCTAATACAGAGAGAGACAGAGAGAAAGAGACAGAAACAGAGAGAGAAAGAAAGATAGACAGAGACCCTCAAACCTGAAGACATCTCATATGCTTGGATCCAGTTGTGCCTCAGCTACCCCTTATTTTTCAGTTATGCAAACTGTAAATTTCCTTGCTTATGCTAATTAGAATTGTACTTCTGTTCACTTAAAATCAGTGATAAAATGATTGTTAATTATTTTATGATTCTATAAATTGAATTAAATTCAGTTGCGACTAACATTTAACATTAACTTCAAAGAAATCCCCAAGTGAGAACAAATCTAAATAATAGTATAAAGAAATGAAGACTTCATTCTCCTAAATAGTATGGAGTAAGAATGTGTGTGTATGTGTGTGTGTAGGGGGATGGAAATAGAAATACCATGAATATACTGCTATCATTGTTCTTTATCCAATGAAAGTGAGAGATGAAACCTCTAAGTCAAGTATGTGAAGCAGAAGATCAGCTCTAATTTATCTTTAAGGTGGACAATTGCCAACATAATATAATTTGAGTGTTAGCCTCAAGGCCCCAATCCCTATATTTGCCATTTTTCCATTAAAGATGTACTTTGAGTTTTCAAAGTCTTTGGATTTTTCAAAATTTATTTATCCAAAGTCAAGAATCATACCTGGGGGTGAGGATACCTCAAGACAGTATTTTTCCAATTATTACATAGAAGTACTCTATTGTCATAGGAAAATGACACATGGGTGTGCACGTGCACACACATACACACACAGGGAAATCAAGAGGTATAG